CGGTTGTAAAAAAATCGAATTTTAACTTGTTTAAAGAAAAAAAGATGCTATTCACATTCAGGTTTCATCGTCTGTAAAATCGAATTCTCAACTACTCGATTAAAATTACTCGATTAATTTTTCAATTACTCGATTACAATTCGTTCTTACAATTATATTTTTAAATAATCGATTAGCTTTTGAAATAATCGATTATAATCGATTAGTTTTTCAAATATACATTAAATAATTACAAATAAAATATATATCAAATTAAAATTAAAAAAATAATTACTTATAAATTATATATATTATATAAATTATAATTATAAATTTTAAAAAATTATGTTTAGAATTATAACCTTAAAAATTTTATAATTATAAAATTAATAAAAATATAACTATTTTTAATTTTAAATCAATTATGTATTATATTAATTATATATTATATATATATATATATATATATTAATTAAAATTAAATATATGAACTTCAAATATATATATATATATATATATATATATTTTCATAAATAAATTAATAATTATCAACTTAATTTATATATATATATATATATATATATATATTCTAAAATATTACAAAACATAAAAAGAAAAATACATTTCAAAAATATAATTTTATATCAAAATATTATTTCATCTTATATACATATAATTTTTAAGATTTTTATTATCCTCCTAATTTATTATTAATTTCTAAAAAAATATTACAATATCAAATAATAATAAAAAATTAAAAAAAATTAATCATACAAATAAAATATAAATATGATATTTAATAATATCTTTTAAAAATATTATTTTACTACTTTCAACAATAAATCTAAATATATTATTAATCTAATAAATATATAAATCTTTAAAAACTATAAATTATAAATTATAAATATTATAATATTATATATATATATATATATATATATATATATATATATTTGATAATTAATGTATTATTTGAAAAACTAATCGATTAATTTTTCAAATTACTCAATTACAATCATTTCTTACCTATTATTTTTTAAATAATTGATTATAATCAATTAACTTTTCAAATAGTTGATTATAATCGATTAGTTTTTCAAATATCCATTAAATAATTACAAATAAAATATATATCAAATTAAAATTAAAAAAATAATTATTTATAAATTATATATATTATATAAATATATAATTATAAATTTTAAAAAATTATATTTAAAATTATAACCTTAAAAAAATTATAATTATAAAATTAATAAAAAATATATATTTTTAATGTTAAATCAATTATATATTATATACATTATAATATATATATATAAATATATTATAGAAATTATAATATATATATATATATATATTTCAAAATATAACTTATTTTTATTCAATATATATATATATATATATATATATATATATATATATATTCTAAAATATTACAAAACTAAAAAAATATACATTTCAAAAACATAATTTTATATCAAAATATTATTTCATCTTATATAGATATAATTTTTAAGATTTTTATTATCCTCCTAATTTATTATTAATTTCTAAAAAAATATTACAATATCAAATAAATCAAAGAATTAAAAAAATTTAATCATGCAAATAAAACATAAATATAATATTTAATAATATATTTTAAAATTATTATTTTACTGATTTTCTACAATAAATCTAAATATAATTCTTAATTTAAGAAATATATAAATCTTTTTAAAATTATAATTTAAAACTATACATTTTAAATAAAATATTATATATATATATATATATATATATATTTATTTTATTTACTGTATTTGAAAACTAATCGATTATTTCAAAAATTAATCGATTATTTTTTCAATTACTCGATTACAATCGATTATTTTTAAATAATTGATTAGTTTTAAAATAATCGATTAGTTTTTTAAATATACATTAAATAATTACAAATAAAAATATATATCAAATTAAAATTAAAAAAATAATTATTTATAAATTATATATATTATATAAATTATAAAAATAAATTTTAAACAATATTATATTTAGAATTATAACCTTAAAAAATTTATAATTATAAAATTAATAAAAATATAACTACTTTTAATTTTAAATCAATTATATATCTATATAAATTAATATATATATATATATATATATATATATTCATTCTATTCATTTCAAAATATTACAAAACACATAAAAATACATTTCAAAATATAATTTTATATCAAAATATTATTTCATCTTTTATATACATATATATATATATATATATAGATTATTTTATTATCCTCCTAATTTATTATTAATTTCTAATAAAATATTACAATATCAAATAAATAAAAAATATTTTAATCATACAAATAAAATATAAATATAATATTTAATAATATATTTTAAAAAATAATATTTTTCTATTTTCAACAATAAATCTAAATTAATTATTAATCTAATAAATATATAAATCCTTTTAAAATTATAATTAAAACTTTAAATTTTAAATAAAATATTATAATATTATATATATATATATATATATATATTTACTATTTCAAAAACTAATCGATTAGTTTTTCAATTACTCGATGAGAACGATTATTTTTTTAAATAATTGATTAGTTTTTAAATATACATTAAATAATTATAAATAAAAATATATATCAAATTAAAATTAAAAAGATCATTATTTATAAATTATATATATTATATAAATTATAAATATAAAGTTAAAAAATATTAAATTTAAAATTATAACCTTAAAAAAATTTATAATTATAAAATTAATAAAAATATAACTATTTTTAATATTAAATAAATTATATATCTTATATAAATTTAATATATATATATATATATATATATATATATATATATTCCAAAATATATCTTATTTTCATTTCTATAATATAAAACATACTTTCAAAATATTACAAAACACAAAAATAAAATACATTTCAAAAATATAATTTTACATCAAAATATTATTTTATCTTTTATATATATATAATTTTTATAATATCAAATAAATAAAAAAATTAACCATACAAATAAAATATAAATATAATATTTAATAATATATTTTAAAAGTATTAATTTACTACTTTCAACCATAAATCTAAATATATTATTAATTTATAAAATATATAAATCTTTTTAAAATTTTAATTTGATTCTATAAATTTTAAATAAAACATTATAATTATATATATATATATATATATATTAGTTAGTTTTTCTTTTTTAACAAAATAAATAAAAATTAAAAAAAAAATTAATTCAAAATTCGATTGTCAAAAAATTGAATTTTAACTGGTTTTAAAAAAAAAATATGAATCTACGTTCAGATTTGGTCTTTCGAGATAATTGAATTCTCAACTAAAAAAATAGTGTTATGTAGGTAAATAAAACCTACATTATGCTATTTGAGTAATTAAAAAATAAATATGTGTCACTAAAAAAACATTTCAAAGATATTGCCTGGACTTACTATACCTCATATTTCAAAATATTGCTACAAATTTCCAAGAGAAATTTAAGAAATAGTTAGTGTATTGTGCAAGATAAATATTAATTTAATCCAACTAAAATTTATTATAAAAATTATGTTTGAATGTATGAATTATATTTCACATTTATACAACATTATATGCTGTGTATCAAAAATTTCAAACAAAATTTTAATTTTAAAATAATAATGTCTATCAACTTACATATAGAGTCTCATGTAGAGTAGCCTAAAAGCCAGTTAAATCGAGCACTTCACTTGCTACAGCTCCTAAAACTGCCAAAACTTTGGAAAAGGATATAAATTTGAACTGCAACACAAGGATAATAAAGAAACTTCTGAGACTAAAAGATAAAGCATAGTAAGCTTAGCTCTTTGCAAACTCGTGAAAGTCCCAGTGAACAATTATAAGGCTGTTCTCTACAGGTAGAATTTGGTTCAGATAAGCACTAACTATTTTTATTTGAGGAATTACCTTAATCAAATTAAGAACAATAATTGGATTGCCATATTGCTTAGCAAGTCTTCAAAATGCAATTTTGTTGCCTGGTATGTTGGATTGTATCTCAGCACTGGAAGTCAAAACTGGAAAAAAGAACATCCAAACAGAGCTTGGTGCATTATAGTTTATGACAGCATAAAATTGAACAATGAACAGGATAGATATTAGTCTCAACTATTTTCATGCAAATTACGTCAGATTTAGGGCTAAATCTTGATGCTTTTTGTGACCAAAAAAGTGGTAGTGATCCATGCATTTGCACATTTGCCCACAACTGGACTCATTTTTCCCTTGCAAGAGCCAGCTTCTTCACGAAGAAGAATCTGTATGTCTCAACATCATTAGCAACCCTCCCCGATCTTTCACACCCCAGAGTCAATTTGTGACAGAAAATTAATCTAACCAATTATTATTGCCGGATAGACACAATGTAAAACCAAATATAGTCGCAAAATACATATAATTCATGATATCAAAGAATATTGACGTGTTTAATCCTCCTATATATTCCCATCCAACCAACGCAGATTTCCTAAATATGAGGAAAACAAGCATCAGCTGTACATTAGATTCTCTGCTCTACACAAAAGCAAACACTTTCGTTATGGAACCACTTTAAAAAGTAAGATCAACTATCCTACAGAATAGAAACACTTGTGAGCGATTAAAATAGGATAACAAATTATCCTTCCAGGGTTACTTATTATAGAGTAGAATGTCCCCCGCAATAACAATAATGATAAGCTCTAGGAAAAACAATCCTGTGGCACAAAACTCGATATACGAACCTCTTTGCAGAGTAACCTACAAACAAATATGGAACTAATCATTCCATTGATTTTTTATTTATTTAGGCGCATCTACTGTATCTGCCTTGTGCTAGGTTTAGTTAATTGAGGATTAGAGTAAATTTTTTTTTTATTTAGACGCATTTGTTGTATCTGCCTTGTGCTAGGTTTAGTTAATTGAGGATTATGGTAAATTTTGTTTGATTTATACGCATCTGCTGTGTCTGCCATGGACGTTTATGATTTCAATTGTTGTGTCTCCCTCAGCTCCCACACTCTCGCCGCCCTCAACGAATTCGTCGTCGAGCAGCAGCATCACTCCGATGCTGGAGGAAGCTCCAATGCTTCTCTTCTGTCCGAGGATTGGAGGTTGAGCCAGTTCTGGTACAGTTCCGAAACAGCCAAAATCGTCGCTGAAGAAGTTCCCACTCTCTGCGATGGCGTCCATGCTCGCGTTGTCTCCCTCGCTTGCCTTACTCTCTATGTCAAGGTAAGTTCCTGCTCTCCTCGTATTGTAATTTGATTTGAGTTTATTTATTTATTTTTCTTTTCTTGATCAAGTGAGGGTGGTTGGGATTACCATTCATGATTTTGGTATGAAATTTGCAAGATAAGTTGATAAGTTATTGAGCATTGTCTTTAGAGCATGATCATGTATGAAATTTGTTTAGACCAAGTTTAGTTTGTTCCAGTTAAAATGAACTTAGATTCTTTAAGCAATATCTCATGTTCGAGTTTAATAGAAAGATCACTATTCTACAAATAGTCCGTAAGGTTTTTCGAAGAAGATTAATCATGGGCTTAGTCTAGATATTTTGCAGCAATAACATGATTACCCAATAATGTATGAAGTTTGTTGTTGTCTTGGCTTAATTTGTAATATAAAATTGGGGTAGATATTTGACTTAGTGTAGAAGATGTTTACAGTTTCAAATCCTTATAGGTCAAAATAATTTAATTAGAATGCATTGAATCATGTGTTGCCATTTGTCACAATTTTTGTTACTTTGATAAAAATTATTTTAAATGTAATACTTGAGATGATTTTTAATTTGTTTACAGAGTAAAAATCTTTACACTAGTCGTCTATGAAAATTAAGGTCATCTAAGAAAGGTAATGAGATGAACAAGGCCTCATTCCAGAAATTAGTATTAACTAATGAATTCAATAAAATACACGGACTATAAATTTTTTTACTCGTTCATACTATTATAGATTTATCAAATTTATGCATGATATGTTTTATTTTTGTAAAACTTAATATTTTAGTGTTTTATTGTTCTAATTGGTTGACAATGTAAAAGGATATTGTATGAAAATTAAACTCCTTTCGATTTGCTTTTGCTCTATTAGTGACATTGTCTTTTTTCTTTCTTCAATCTTCAGCAAATGAATCCTAATGCGTCTTTGCAACTTCTTGAGTATGACAAACGTTTTCAACAATATGGAAGTGACTACACATTTTATGACTACAATCTCCCTGATGAAATACCATCAGAATTGAAGCATTCATGCAAAGTTGTAGTTGTCGATCCTCCTTACTTGGTGAGAATTAATTGCTGACGTTTTACCTTATACATTGGCGTCTTCTGTACCCTTTGCTCCCATTTTTACCAGTTGTTTGTGTACTTCACATAAAACTATAAATGGTTTGATTGCCAGCTGTTGGCGTTTTATTGTGAAAAATGTTTTTCTTTTTTAACTTTATTGTGCAAGTTGTTTAAAGAGTTTGAACTGTATAGCTTTATTTAGTTAAAACATTCCTAGTCTTGTAAGATTTGCTTATTACAAAACTATTGTCTTGGACTTCTCTTAAGTTGGATTCCTCCATCTCCTGTATATGTTTCCCCATCATCTTCTAATTAAAAGAAATAACATTAGTGTGATATGAAACTGATATTCCTCCCTCACTTGTACGTTTGATTGCAATCAGAAATCAATATGAAGCTAAATTTTTTATTTTGCTTTATAGAAAATTATCTAGTATTGGGCAATCCAAAGGTTGTGTTGTATGGTGCATTCCTTAGCATCTCTTTCAATGAGTTGAATTTCATGTTTCATGGATACATAGGTTCCTATATATCTATGTGAACTAATTTAAACCCTGTTTCGTGTAATTTCTTGTCATAGCTTCTGGCAATGAGTTCATATTTGCATAACTTACTTTTGTATTTGTAGTTATTTATTACCAGAAGAGGTATTCACAATGCAACTATAAAAGAAAAATCTAGTGGTATTTAAGACATGACAACCTTTTCTTTCCATTTTAATTTTAAGTAAACAAGTTAGATTACTGCATGAAGATTCGTGTGGGTAAATAGCTTAATCACGGATAAAAAGAAATAATGAATCTTGAACCATACTCGTAATCCCCGATTAATCTCCCCTTAGAAGTTCATTCAAATGCCTCCAAAATCTATGAAGTGAAGTGAGTGTAATTTTTAAGCATTTGTTATTCAATTTGTAATGAAATTTTTGTCCTTTTTAGGTGAATATAGAAAAGACATCAAGTGTGAGACTATGAGACTGACAATATACATTAGTTCTAATTTAAAAAGTGACATAACTAACGATCTTTTTAACGTAATTATTTGGTAGTAGAGCAAAGAGTGGTTGGAGAAAGTTTATGAAACAATTCATCTGCTCATACAACTTGAAGAGTCATTTGTGCTTCTGCTCACATGTACCAATTATTTTTATCCTATTGTGTTTTTATCATTTATCTGAATATGATAATTTACTCATTATGTTTATGATAAGATAATCAATACCAAGAATGTACTGCTTGTATTGCTAGCGCTACACCATTGAGTTTGTATTGCTTTGTTGTATTAGTGAAATTTTGGACATTTATGATTTCAATTAGTAAATTTCTGTATTGGATCAAAAGAAGTATATGCATTTGTTGGACTTGTAGTAAATGTCATCATAGTAAATAAATTGTATATTATGAACTTAAAATTAAATAGGGTTACATGTATTTGCAGTTTGAAATGGAAAGACATGGAAGCATGGATGATGGATCTTCAAATGTTAAGAAGGTGAATATTGTATCTATTTGTATAATATTGGATATTCTTGGAGATAATTATAATTATTTATTGTGATTTTCAGGTATATTTGTGACATGTTTGTAAGACAAATTATTTAAGTGAAGTGAATAACATTCTTACAACAGAGCAAAAAGGTCGTATTGAGTTAACACCATTTAAATGGTTGATGTCATTGGGTAGAAATGTTAAAATTAGTAGAACATTTCTTAGTGAATTAACAAGTAGATGGGTTGAAAAGAGAGGAGATTTAATATAAGGTCTGAAATAGTATGCTTTTACACTGTTAGATGTGTATTTAGGTTTAGGACTTCATGTAGGCCAAAATGTCAAAATTGTAGAAGTAGGCCTTGATTGTCATATTAGGAGACTATTTAATGGGAAACATGTTACTTTGGAAATGATTTTTAATGAACTTGTTAAACGTCAAAATGACAAGGATGTCGATGACTTTTGTAGGTTGTACATACTTTTAAGTTTGTCAGAGTTTTTATTCTCAAATAAACTAGGTACCACACATTCTGGATTTTTTAAGTTAATAGATAATATATCTTGTCTTGGAAAGTATAATTGGGGAAAAGTAGTGTATGAATATATGGTTGAAAGTTTATGTGAAACATCAATTTGTTTGAAGAAGCGAAGAAATTGTTCACACTTGCATGTACTAGGATGTGTGTTTTTGTTACAAGTAAATCGTAAATTACGATTTATGTCTTGTTAGACTACTTTTAATAAAGTCATTTGATTTGATATTGTGCATTTTATTGATATAAATTCATATATGGGCTATGAAGCATCTAGTTTACAATACCAAAACATGTAATGAGATAAGTCGATTTCCGAGATTTTTACAATGGACCTTTGTTGTAATTGGGGAAAGTAAAATTGTAGCTGCATTTAATCATAATAGGGTTAGTTCATTAAAAATTTAGTAGAAATTGTTTACAAAATTACTTTTACCATATGTGAAAATGGGATTTGAATTTGATATTGTTTTTTATTCATAGGTTATTCATGACTTGTGTGTCAGAAATGAAGATCTTGCTCATGATATAGTGAAAGAAGCGTTAGCACATACCACTATGAATCTGAAGAATTGAAAAATTGTACTGATATGTTGTGTGGAATCAATTGTTGATTTTCCAAACCAAACAACAAGAATCAACGATTGAAAAATTAGAGGAGGATGTAATACAATTAAAGGAATTGTTAGATGAAGCAAAACTATCAACATAAGAGGTAAATCCTCCATCATCTGGGATTTACTTTTCTTCTGTATTTGAAGGTAGTAGTATTAAGGAGATGAAACATCATACTAAAGCAACAGAAGAATCAAAGTTGCATTGTGAAGGGTCAAATATGTATGTTAGCAAGGAAAAGAAAAAAGGTCACAAAAGTGGTAGCAAATAATGTGTAGATGAATTATTTTGTTAGGTTTAGATCTTTTGTCCTAAGAAACATATTAATTTATATTTATGTTTTCATTTTAGACCTTTATATTGTAAGTTGTGTGGCGTGTGATAATGTGATATTGTACATTACTCTTTATATCATAGTCATAGTATTATATCTTTGTACATTGTGTTGTTCGTCTGACCATGTATGTTCATGTGCGTAAATATAAATGCTATGTATGAAAGGTGTAAAATAAAATGTCATGTGCAGCTAATCATATATAGTCAAGTGGCTAACCATATGTCATTTATAGTTAACCATAACCAGATAAACAGTGACGGATCTTGACCATTGATCTTGGAGGTCAAATAATATATTATTAATAAATAATAAATAAATATAAAAGAAAGAAAAAAATATGAAAGGGTGAAAAGATAAAATTGTAGATATATACTTAAATATATTAAATGATCATTAAGTTTGAGAAGGACAAAATCATAAATTATATGAGAGTTATAAAATTGAGGAGAGGCTAAGAGGATAAAATTGTAAATAAACAAGTAAATATATTAAATATTAATTAAGTTTGGGGGGCTAAAATCATAAATTACATGAGAGTTACAAAATTTTGGGGGGGTCACGACCCCACTCAGCTCCCAAGAAGATCTGCCATTGCAGATAAACTTGAGGTTGTCAGCATATATGGTAAATGAAGCAGTAAAACAAGACAAAAATCCATCACAGTTAACCACATAATTTGAAGGAGGTAACTATATATGTTGCAGATAAAAAAAACTGGTCATTGACAGTTAAACATATATGTTGGACTGAATAAACTTAACATGTAAATATAAGAAAATGCCCTGTTTAGTTAACCAGATAAACTTGAGGTGGTTATCACATATGGTAAATGAAGTAGTAAAACAAGATAAAACATCCATCATATTTAACCACATAATCTAAGGGAGGTAACCATATACGTTGCAGATAAACAAAATTAGTCATTGACAGTTAACCATATATGTTGGACTGAACAAACTTAGCATATGAATACAAGAAAATGCCTTGTTTAGTTAACTAGATAAACTTGAGGTGGTCAGCACATATGGTAAATGAAATAGTAAAGCAAGACAAAATGTCTTTCACAGTTAACCACATAATCTGAAGAAGGTAACAATATACGTTGCAGATAAACAAAATTGGTCATTGATAGTTAGTCGGATATGTTGGCCTGAATAGACTTAGCATATGATAAGTATGAAAAAAAAACCCCAATTCTTCTTTCACATGTTTCTTCATAGCCACACTATAAAATGTAAAGTGAATGGGGTAACCATGTAAACTTAGGATATAAATAAAACAAAATACCCTCTTAAGTTAATCATACAAGGTTAATGTGGTAACTACTGAAAGCATTGAGAGGCAGATTGATAGAAATGTGAAACATGTCCTTACATTCCCAATAGATGATTTTGATAATGATTCAAGTCAACAACATTCAAATTCAAGCAAGCCCAAGATATGATTTTGATAAAGATTCCATTTAAACATCAAGCAAGCCCAAGATGAATCTTGAAGACTAGATAGAGTCTTAGAATATTGGATATAAAGGTACAAGTTGATGAAGTCGTATTATGCATAAGCCTCCAAAGCACAAGTATGATTAAATTTTGTAGCATGACATTTTTCACTGTCATAATCAATTATGATGCATCGAAATGGAAAAACGATTATCTCTTTGTCATAATCGATTATACCGGTAACATAATCGATTATGTCAGTTTGAAATTAAAAAATATATATATTTTGAAGAATAAATGTTTTTAAATATATCCTAATTTTTATCCACGAAAATATTAATGTCCAACGACCATTTTCTGATGCTATTTTTCTATTTAATTAAGTTTTTATGGAAAATAAAAAACACACAATTACAGAATTCAAAAATACAATTTACATTCAATCAGTTTTGAGAAAATAATTCTGAGCAAGGCAACAAAGCACTTTTAGGTTTTCTAAGAAAAATTTTCTATACTTCCTTCTGTGCTTTCATTATTAATCACATTGTGTTCTTGGAGGTTATCATTCTACAGACTTCTACAATTTGTTGTCTCCATT